ATAAGGGGAAAAAACACAGCTACAGCACTCTTAAGTCCGTCTAAGATCACAAACTGCTCCGAAAACAACACCCAGAATAGGGACAAGGCACCAAAATGGATGCGAATGAATCATAACACGAAGATGGCCACCGAAACATTTGTCAACAGCCAAGTCAACAGCCGGAAGCCAACTAAACAGCATAACATAGGCCACACGATGGCACCCGTAACAGCACACAACGAAAATATCTGGGTTGTAGACTTTACTGGAATGATTTAGAATGTATCTGCCAGAACTCAACGTAAGAGCAGGCCGCTCAGGGGGTGCTGAGTATTAAACCATAGAACAACTTGTATTCTTTACTCTTCTCCTTCTTTAATATGATTAGATTCTAGAAGATATAGCTTATCTTCACCTCCATGTTATTTTCCATAGAGAACAGAACAACCTCCTGTCTAACAGCGTAAACTTGCCTTTAAATAAAAGCATTCTCTAAAAATAAAGCTTGGGAAAGATTAAACTTAATTATTCATAATAAGACATACAACTGCAACAATAAGTAACAAAAACGATTTTAATCTAATGCCTTTTCACAGATACACAATTGGTTATTTACATATATAGTCTTGTGACCGTGCTTATCCGAAATCAGAACACAATTGACGTAACCGAAGACACTTTTTGAGTTGTATACATGTCTGTTGGAAGAGCCGAGATTCCTAGCTTTCTAATGATATTCAGGATTGTTTTTGTAATCCAATATAAAAAGCGAAAATATGTACAACATTATATTGACTGTTACAGAGTCATCATTTTGAGAAAAAGGCCTTCAAAGTTTTCTCTTCTCTGGAATCCCATCGAGCTGATTGATTATTAGCGGAGCAAATGATCAAAATATACGGAGGGAAGATAGTTTCGTTTGGATTGCTTGGCTGGGAAAGACTCTGCGAGTGTGTGTGTACGTGTGTGTGTGTTGTGTAATTTTGCGTTTGTGTGTATTGCGTTGTTTCCCAGGGGGAAACCCTCACGAGAAACACCGGAACTGTAATGTTATGCCTGGCTGTGACCTTAAGGTTACTTCCGTTTCTTCAACAGACATCTGTAAGTATCCAGTACAGCTTCAAAGTTGTAATTTATCACTAATATACCAGACAAAATCCTGAAACAGACTGACTAGTTTCAATTGAACAAACAGAGGAAAAACAAACTGTAACCGGACCCTGCCGTGTAATTTAATGATTACTAAACCAAACTAAACGCTACATTCATAAGATACAAGACCGAGGGAAGGAGGGAGCGGCACTGCGGAAGAGCAGATTGCCTGTCATTCCTTTACAAGCTTAAGAAAGTATTAATCGTGTGAGTTTGAAATAAAAGTTTCATATCTGAAGCCAAGACTTTGTTTGTTTAAAATCAAACAAAACACCCGAACCCGAATAAAATAGTTTTTATGCAAATGCACGTTTATTCAAATGAGCCGTTGCGACTATACCGACTGATTTCGATAACGAGCCGGGTCACATATGTTAACATGATTGTAGTGCATAAATGGCAATCTCGATGTCAATTACGACGATAATACGATGGCTACACGACGACATTGCCAGGCCTCACGAGTCGTGGTTGCCTTCCTAAGACAATCGGGCCGCTTCTGTTTCCTTCATATTGTCGTCGTGAGGGCGAAAAATGCCCGATGGCACCGATGATTAGACGAAGTAAGAATCGAAGATGACGATTTGACAAGGTGCCCTCATGAGTGATTACGAAGGGCAAAATGGACAAACAAATTCAACACGAAATATGAACCTTCGGAGCTCCTTCGGCAATTCTTGGCATGCCAAAGATTTGCCACCGCTCACGAAGTTGCTTGCCGGAGCCTGAGAAACTCCACCGGCGTTCATACGAGGATTAGGAGCCCTCACAGAATGGCCCGATGTTTGTAACGATAGAGCCGAATTTTGAACATTTCCTTATCGTGTGTCCATGCTGGTAAGTTCATTTATATAGCACCTTTAACACAAGGCAATTTCAAAGTGCTTACAAAAATGAAAGACATTCAAGAAAATGGTCAGTCAATTAAAAGAAGATAGATAGCAAGAAAAATTATAGAAAAAGGATAAAAGTTACAGTGCAGTCTAAGATATGAATAGTTCAATTAAAAGCAGCGGCAAAAAGAAAAGTCTTCAGCCTGGATTTAAAAGTAATAAGAGTTGCAGCGGACCTGCAGGTTTCTGGGAGTTTGTTCCAGATATTTGGAGCATAATAACTGAATGCTGCTTCTCCATGTTTAGTTCTGCGGACAGAAAGCTGACCAGTCCCAGAAGACCTGAGAGATCTGGATGGTTCATAATTTAGCAGTAGATCAGAAATGTATTTTGGGCGTAAACCATTCAATGCTTTATAAACCAGCAGCAGTATTTTGAAATCTATTCTTTGACACACAGGAACCTAGTGTAAAGACTTCAGAACAGGAGTGATGTGATCCACTTTCTTAGTGTTAGTGAGGACTCAAGCAGCAGCGTTCTGAATTAGCTGCAGCTTTCTAATACATTTTTTAGTGAGACCTGTAAAGACACCATTACAGTAGTCGAGTCTACTGAAGATAAAAGCATTTTCCAAATCCTGCCGGGAGATTAGTCTTTTAATCCTAGATATGTTCTTTAGGTGATAGTAAGCTGATTTAGTAACTGTTTTAATGTGACGGTTGAAACTCAGGTCAGAGTCCATGACTACACCTAGATTTCTGGCTTTATCTGTTGTTTTGAACATTGCAGACTGAAGCTCAGTGCTAACTTTTATACGTTCTGCCTTGGCTCCAAAAACCATTACCTCAGTTTTGTCTTTGTTTAATTGGAGAAAGTTCTGACACATCCAGTCATTGATTTGTTCAATGCACTTACTCAGTGTTTGAATTGGAGCATAGTCTCCTGGTGAAATGGTTATGTAAATGTTTGTGTCATCTGCATAGCTATGGTAACTTATTTTGTAGTTTTTCATTATCTGAGCCAGTGGTAGCATGTAGGTGTTAAAGAGAAGAGGCCCCAAGATGGAGCCTTGAGGAACCCCACATGCCATATTTGTCAACTCAGATTTGTATTTACCTATAGAAACAACGTTTTTTCTGTCCTTTAAGTAGAATTCAAACCAATTTAGAACTGTTTCCGAAATTCCCACCCAGTTTTCCAGTCGGTCTAGTAATATGTTGTGGTCAACAGTGTCAAATGCAGCACTGAGATCTAATAATACTCACACTGAAGTTCTGCCACTGTCTACGTTTAAGTGGATGTCATTGAAGAGCTTTACAAGAGCAGTCTCAGTGCTGTGGTTTGGACGAAAGCCTGACTTGAACACATAGAAACAGTTATTTAAATGTTACTCAAGTTACTCAACTGTTGAAAAACTACTTTTTCAATGATTTTACCTAGAAATAGGAGGTTTGATATGGGCCTGTACTTGTTCATTACTGAAGCATCTAGATTATTATTTGTTAACCCTTTGATACATGACATGGGTCAAAAGTGACCCGAGTGAGTTTTAATTGTAAACATCTTTGCAACTAATTACTTTAATAATTCAGAATTCCAGGTATTNAATTCATAGATAGGTTATATTTACACCATAACGGTGCACAGCTGATATACAAGGACTTGTAGTTTTACTGATATTAGATATTACTGATTTTCTTTGAATATAAGTATTCAAAGAAAATCAGTAATATCTAATATCAGTAAAACTACAAGTCCTTGTATATCAGCTGTGCACCGTTATGGTGTAAATATAACCTATCTATGAATTAGATCAAATGTAAAAGTCAGCCGAATAGTGTTGATACTGCGAGGAGACGTATTGTGTGAAGAGAAATTGAAGATGTTGTTTCATTGTTGATATATATTTATGATCCACGTCAAGTATTTATAGTTTTTTCGGATTTCATATCGCATTAACACCATATCCCTACATGCATTGCTGCTAAAACATCCAATCAGCGAGCTTAAACCATAGCTGAGGATCTTGCTCGAAATGTCCCTTATAGGCCTACGTCTGTTTCCGGTTATTTTTATTTTGAAATTCAGTTCCTGACGGACGCCAAAAAAGCCAGAGATTATGGAATTAAACTAATAAATAAAAACAAGGATAATTATGTGTTATTGGTGAGTAAATAACAGTGTGTTATTTAGAAAAGAATAACAAATTAGAAGGAAAAACAGATACAAAAAAATACAGATTTCAGTATTCTGAGGCTCTGAGCCCCATTTCTTTTCCTCACAGACGACAAAAAAAGTCCGACATTATCATTTAAAATAAAAACAATAATCGTGGCTTGATATTGAGTAAGAACATGTTTTTATGAATCACACAGCTTCTGGTCTTTCAAGACCCGAACGGACAAAAAGACGTGCTGCAGGCACGAAACATACTACCAATAGAAATACATTGCTTTTAAAATCGTTCTGTGCGACACGAAAAAAAGGGGAAAATCGTGTTGGTGAACACGAATCAATAGATTAAATGTCGTGACTATAACACGAAATGCCGTGAGACTGGGTTGAGCTACCACGTAGTGAGGAAATAGGCAACGATACAGTGGATGTCCTTGTTGAGTTAATTCAGTATTTTAATTAGCCTAACTTGTATCCCAACGACTTCGTCTTTCATAATTAGTTGGTACTGTTTAATGTACCTGTCAGATACTGCATTGATATCTATTCAACCCTCTCTCAGCGAACTTAGGTTCAAACACATCATCTATANGTTGAGCTACCACGTAGTGAGGAAATAGGCAACGATACAGTGGATGTCCTTGTTGAGTTAATTCAGTATTTTAATTAGCCTAACTTGTATCCCAACGACTTCGTCTTTCATAATTAGTTTCAGTACTCGATGTGGCAAGGTTTTTGTGGTACTGTTTAATGTACCTGTCAGATACTGCATTGATATCTATTCAACCCTCTCTCAGCGAACTTAGGTTCAAACACATCATCTATAGCGTAAAAAAACATTATGCTCCCAGCTCCATACAACATCTATAGGAAAGGTCCCCTTTGAACTGGTATTAATTAGAATGAATGCTCAACATCAAAGAAAGAAAACATTAAAGCAGGAGGATTGCTTTGGATTAGTTAAACCAAACAGTGAGTATTTTGACTTTTCAAGCGGTTTGCCTTTCAGCACAAAGATAAAAACCTACCATGATGTGATTCCAATTTCCTGCCTCACCGAGTTCCCCAATGTGGTTCAGATGGCCAAGGTAAGCAGTTGTTATCACACAGAATACAAAGTCACAAACTGTATTTCAGTGCATTTTCATTCTGTCATTTTCATTTTTTGGGTTAACAGCTTGTTTGTGAAGAAGTAAACGTGGATAGGTTTTATCCTGTCCTCTATCCAAAGGTAGGCATTTCAAAAAGAAAATGATCTCTTGATATCAACCAACATGACACATCCATCTCATGAAGCTGGATACTTGCTGCTCTCTCGTCCTCAGGCATCAATGCTCGTTGTCACCTTTGATGAGCATGTGATCAGCAACAACTTCAAGTTTGGGGTTATTTATCAAGCGTTTGGCCAGGTGAGTGAACTTCAGAGATACCACTGCTAATCTTTGCTTTTGTAGTATGTCTCACTCCTCCTGAAAATGTCCTTTTCTTCAGACAACAGAAGAGGAGCTGTTTGGGAACATGGAAGAAAGTCCCTCCTTTGTGGAGTTCTTGGAGTTTCTGGGCCACAAGGTTGAACTTCATGACTTTAAAGGGTTTGGACACTTTTAAGATCAATTTCTTTGATTCTTTGCAGCAGATTTAATGTTGCTTGATTCTTAGTATAGCTCTTCACCTCATGTCTGCTAGAAGCAGGCCATCATTCACTTTGCTATTGATCAGAATTGTCTTAAAAAAGCGCTTTAGAGTGTCTTGATATTTGCAGTGTTGCTGACATTGTGATTGAGTAGGCAGAAGAAGTGCCCTTGGCATTCCCTCAATGATGGATGAGGGTGGATCGGCTGGGTCCTCAGAGAGCATGCTCTTGTGTTCCACTCCTTACACAGCTTTCGTCTCTTTTCCATCTTCTCTCCTTTCATCTCAGTCCTCTCTTTGACTTCATAGTCTTCTCTTCTCCTCCATTCTATACTCTCTTCTATTTCTTGCTTCTTCTTTGCTTTTTAAACCTCCACCTCTTCTTTTTCTTCTTCAGGTTTCGGGGTGGACTGGATGTCGCTCATGGGCAGACGGGGACCGAATCCGTCTACACAACTTTCCATAATATGGACATAATGTTCCATGTGTCCACCAAGCTGCCTTACACGGAAGGTGACTCACAGCAGGTATAATGACATTCCAATGATTCATTACCAGGGTAACTTATATGTGTATTCTTGGTAGTTTTCATGGCCTTCACTAATTCCTTTATAAAGTTCTCCATGTAAATCCTCCACACATCAGATGAGAGCAACAGCTGAACTCTACATTTTATGATGGATTCCTATGAAGCAAGACAAATCATGTGATGCTCAATCTAAACTAATACACCAATAAGCAGGGTTAAAGGAATAGTTTGACTTTCTCACTTTATTGTCGCCGAGCCTTTGCAGCAGCTGACCCCAGGCTCTGGAACACTCTGCCCCTCCATGTTAGGTCGGCCCAGACCCTAGGGGTTTTTAAATCGACACTAAAGACTCACTTCTTCTCCCTGGCCTTCTAGTCAGAGCGGAGCACGACTCATGACATTTCCATGTGTTTGATTTTTATATTTGCTGTTGTAATTTTTTGTCTTCTGTTGCTATCGCAGTAAAGTGTTTTTTATTGCATGTATAGCACTTTGGCTCGACCAAAAATCGTTTTTAAAATGTGCTATATAAATAAAACCTGATTTGATTTGATAAATAAAACCTGAGTAAGATAAAAAGATTTCACAATATTTCCGAAGGAAATAAAAACTCTTACCTCTAATTAACCCTGAATCTATTCGTACTAAAGCAAAAATGTGAAAAATGTTCAAATACAATCCTCTCAGCTAAGGTTAATTACTTGTTCTTGGATGACCCCTACCTTCCACAAGTTTCACATGTTAACTTTGTTTTTGTCTAGATTAAATACAAAAATATGTCCATTAGTGCTGGTAGGAAGATTGTGCTTTTGAACTTTGGACAGAGCAAGGCCAGCAGTTTTTCCATTTTCAGGCTCACAGTGAGATTGGTATTGATGTTAACTCTTGGCTACAGCAAGAAAGCAATTTATCTTATTTCCTAAAACTATCACTTTAACTAATGAGCATGCATACTTTGAAGGGGCCCTATTATGCTAACTTTAAGGTTCATATTTGTGTTGTGTGCCTATACTGTGAAATGTTTACATGCTTTAATGTTCAGAAAGAATAAAAACATTTTAGCCTTTGCAGACCATTCGCATGCACACAAACCCATACAGTATTACACATTACAGGAAAATGAAAACCCCAGAAAAGCACAATAGGACCATTTAAAATATGTTCTAATCTTCTTTACTTGAGCTTTTCAAGTAAAGTGCATTATTCTAAGCAATCACATTTTCTTAGGTCTGGTGTCCTCACTTGCCGTACTGTTGTACAGACATTTAATTGTTTTGACAATTTTCCAAAAGCATATGCAATATTCTTACTAGCACGTTTCCCTGCTGTTGGTTTTTGTGGCTAGAGACTTTTATCTCTTTGATGAAATGTTGCAGTAAGTTGAATTAGTCCTCAGCTCTGCTCTGCCTCTTTGAGTGGTTTGAACTTTGTCACCACAGTGACCCTGCACAGACTGTCCACATTGCCGAGGCAAGAAGAGAAACAGAGGACATAAACAACACCCACATAACATGATTCATGAGGGAACTCAAGAAAAAAGGCAAAAGTGCAACCTTAATAACATAGCATTATCTCAGGAGGGAGAAGCTACAACATTAATGCAGCCAGATCTAAGTGAATGGGATTAGATTTGAGCGGATGTATGGCATTAACAGATGTCAAGTGTCTCAGTCCAGCCCCACGCTTACTGAGTTAGCTTTTTAAGTGTCTGACTGTCCTTGGTGAGTTTGGTAGTCCATCTGCACAGAGAAATGGGAGGAATGTTATTTGGCTTTTCTGAGCTAAGAAAGCCCCTGTGCTTAAGTAAATATCAAAGCTGGCAGCTAATAAGCTCAGGGATGATGCAGTAGTAACCTGGCTGCCCTGCCTCTACAGCCAAATATAACCTGTCTACGGTCTGAGACATACATTTTAACAAAAATAACTTTATCATTAGATGTATCAAAATAAGCGGTCTGGGTGAGGCTGTAATTTTCTTCACAAATGACTTGCTACTCATTTATGTCTGTCAAATTGTAACCTAAATTCTCTTCAAAACCTTATTTTCCTGTGAAACAATGCATACGTATCGCAAAAAATAAGAGAATAAACTTTTGATTAGGATAAAAGTCTGGACCATTTGCACATATTTAATATTGAGTTGTTGGACTCCTACCAAACAGTTCTGACTTAAAGTGTCTGGTCGTTATGACTGCTATGACTTCAGCATATTACGAAATCTTGCCAGCGCCTGAAACAGATGGATGATTGTTCTCATGTGAACAAACAGACTGTCTTTAACAGTCAGTTGCTTTAAAGTTTACAGCAACTGACAAGTAATTAGACTGCTAAATGTGGAAGAATAATCTATAAACTCCAGAGTAAATATGTGCACTGACTGATACTACAGCTACCAGGTGTGAGGAGCCTTTGTGAGATGTCTGGACTTCAGTCTGATGACTGACAGAGGATAATCAACTCATGCTGCTGCAGTGCAGGTGTCACAATGTTTACTGAGGAGGATCACCAGAGCTGGGGCTATTTTTGCCAACACTGGCTGCACCAAGAACATTTAGGACTGAGCAGATCTGTTTTTCGAACTGTATCCGTTTGCAGAATCTGATATACCTGCCTCAGCTTCCATCCTGTGGAGTGATTTGGGTTAATCTCGGATGGCTGAGCAGAATATATATGTTGACATTCGGATTTCCACTACTATTTCATGGTTTGACTGCTAGTATGAAAACATTTCTGGGAAATTATTACATACAGGATACTATAAATAATTTATAGTCATAAATTAAATTGACAATTTTTTACAAAAAGTAAATTGACACTTGAGCCGTCTTTATAAGAATTCCAAGCAAAAGGTACTGAGGTGACAAAATTCATATTTCAGCAGGGGAAGAAGTTGCTCCTAATGCTTGGCAAGTTTTAAAAAATATATAGCTTGGATAGAAACCTCACACTTTGGCACAGTCACACTGTCCTCCAAGTACACAAGCGTTCTTTTGGCAACCTTTAACTTTTTGGCAACAAGGAAAATGCAGCTTTTAAGCAGTGACGCTATAGGACCCTGACAGTCAGCCATCTGCAGAATCTCCATTTCTGTTTAACTGGTTTTTGGATTAATTAATTCCCACACTGTCTACAGCCTGTGAAAGCTGAGGCCTGAAATAGTCTACCCTTGTCACAGCTTCATTCATGTAAAGGGACTTCAGCAATATAGCCCGTGGTACAGCAGAGGGGCAACATCACTTACAGTGGCAGTTCTCAAAGACAGATAAAGTCGATTTATAAGGGCCTATAGGTAAGTTATTTCTAAGTGTAGTATGCTCCATCATATATGTGACAAGAACTTGTTGTTTATACTATTTTTGTTTATTGTATAGATGTAAAGGTGCTCTGCAGATATAACTTACTTGTTGTGTTAAATCCGTAGCAAAAGTTGGCTGATAAAATTCTAAAACCAGGGTGGTATTTTTGGATTAGATTCCTGTCCACCTCTCTGCCTGGACTATATTTATCCCCAGTCAATCTGTCAGCACGAATCCTGGCAGTGATTCTGCGACCAGCATGCTTCTGTGATTTCTCAAACTGGTAATCTTGGATGTTTCCGCCGTTGTGACTTTTGTTTATCTGTGCCATCCAGCTTCAGAGGAAGAGGCACATAGGCAATGATATCGTAGCCATCGTGTTCCAGGAGGAGAACACGCCCTTTGTTCCAGACATGATCCAGTCCAACTTCCTGCATGGGTACGTGGTGGTGCAGGTGGAGAACGCGTGTACGGAAAATGTCACATACAAGGTTGGTGCCAAAGACAGACAAAACTGTATCAAGAAAAAAAATCATATTCATTCACTTTTGTTTTCAGGAGTTTGTATTTTTAATTGACATGTGCATCACGTATCTCAGTGTATCATAGCCTTTGCTCACCTGCTCTTTCCTCCAGGTGTCTGTGACAGCGCGGGATGATGTACCTTTCTTTGGGCCGGCTCTGCCTGACCCTGCCGTTTTCAAAAAGGTCTGCAGTCACACAAACTTGATTCACCTTTGTAAGCAGACATCATAAACATTCATTCTCTCCAACTTTCCTTCCCTTATATTTACCGTCCTCAGGGCCCAGAGTTCCGGGAGTTCCTCTTCACTAAGCTCATCAATGCTGAGTACGCCTGCTACAAGGCTGAGAAGTTTGCCACGCTCGAGGTGAGAAGTGTGAATGCCTGTGTTTGTGTGAGTGTACAACTTTGGAATAGGTGTGCACCCTACTGCCTATATTCCTAACAGGAATTTATTTCAAGTGCCAACATAGATTTATCATCATCTAAATATTCAACAAGCCAGTGAGCTATAGCGCTGATGTCTATCATCCTGACGTGGTCCTATCATATTTTCATCACTGTCACCCAAATTTGAAACGATGAAGTAAGGTGAATTTAAGACATAGTCCAATTCCTGACCGAACCCTCCGTGTCAGAGTGCGCTCCATATGTAGTCACACCCTTATTTCAGGTGGAGGGTGTAAATACAGCGGCCAGCTTTGGGACAATCTCCACTATCTCAGGCAGAAACAGGAAATGTCATACATTTTCAAACAGCTATTTTAGGGATATTTTTAGGCAGATTTCAAATAAAAATTATATAAAATGTAATATAATTAAAATTCAAAATACACTTTAGTGGTGTTTTTTTATGTAACTATTTTTGTTTGAAATCTAATGATTGGTTTTTGCAACAGTCCCTGTAAATATGCGAAACATTACAATCAAATAAACAAGTCTATGGTTCTCTAGACCTGGGTCTAAAAAATATGAAAATACAATGTAACCTTAAAGTTCAAATCAACATGACAATATTAAATGTCTCTTTTTTTGCACAGTTTACGAGTAAATGTTTGCACAGAACTATTTTTACCCAGCTTGTTCTGCGACATGCAGCAGGTGAAGTGAGGACCGATGTAGAGCCACTGTTGGAGGGAGTGGAAGTGGGTTGTGGGTTGAAGGGGTCGGTTTGGAATTGGGCCTTAGACAGAGTTACTACCTGTGCAGACTGAGTGTGTTGTTGTTGTCAGGAGCGCACACGGTCAGCCCTGTTGGAGACTCTGTACGAGGAGCTGCACATCAACAGCCAGTCCATGATGGGTCTGGGTGGAGACGATGAAAAGCTGGAGAACGGGGCCGGAGCAGGCGGAGGAGGCTTCTTTGAATCCTTCAAGGTACAGCACCCTCCTGTTAATCTGCAACCCCACATGCATGAGAGCGAATGCACAAACTTTTAGGGTGCTTTTATTTCCCTTTCCCTCTCTTGGGTGGGATTCTGGGTATTCACACATGAGAAAACAAAGCAGAGAACATGTGCAGTATCTCAAAAGAACAGCCCTGTGGCATTTGATTTCACTTGGCTGGGACTGCTGTGTTTGTACATGATGGTGTGGTTTCGGGGCTGCACGGTGTCCTGTTGTGTACGAGAGTCACTTTCTCTGACTGAGTGCTTCATCAATGGACATTAGGGTGGTGGAGCGTGGCCCCGCCGCTGAGGCTCGGCGGTAGAAGCTGTGATTGTTTGTGCCTGATGAACGATTTAATGACCCCTCATTAGGGAGCTGATGATGCAGTTTGCATGTCTACCCATGGGCAGAGTTCCCTCTGAGCTGTCTTTCCTTCTCCCTGTGACAACAAGTCGTTCTTTGCCATCTTATATACCAATTTTTCTCTCAGCCTCTGGCTTCAAATTATTTTATTATGCATGCAAGCATACAATACCTTTCTATAAATCTTGCACACAAATTTTGTATGTTTCTCTAACTATCAAGAGCATATTTTTCTGTCCCTCAAATCTCCACAAATTATATGTTTCCCTCTCTTTGCCTCAAACTGTGTAAATTCTCCTATTTTCTCTCGCTGTCCTCCTTGCTCACATTGTGTTTCATCTGCCCCTCTAATTACACAAAAACACCTCAAAAGATACATAGAGATGTACAAAGCCTACACTCTCCTCGACCTCCTGTGAACCTACATTTATTTCACGCAGCTTCTCCCTCCTGCTTGTTGACTGGCACTGCCCCTAAGCGTTCGAAAATAGTCCTGCGTACACACATGCAAGCACAAACCAGGATGTGGTCATGTGTACACACAAACAAACACACATGTAAGTACACACACATTTGTTCTTCTCAGAGATTCAACACATTTATTCCAAAAATCTTCACACTTATTAACATTTCACAATAAGTATCACATGTACACATAATCACTTGAAAAAGAGATCGGAGATCTCAATGGGACCACCTGGTTAAATAAAGGTTTAATAAAAAAATAATAATAAAAGTTAGGGTGATCACAAGAGCAAAGAATAATTCAAGACCCTGAAAACAGATTCAGCTAAATGGAATTCATCCATCATTAACTCTATTATCATCACTTTTTACTTAAATATTGTGACAACGCTTTCTATTAAAAAGCCCTTCCATCAATGTGTGTGAATATTTAATACAGATAAACATACCCTCATTTATGAAACTTGACCTAATTTGGATTAATGTAATTTTATTGTAAATATATTCACATATATTTGGTATACGATCTTTTGAGAAATCGGTCGGTGAGTTGCATTTCCCCCAAAACATCAAAGTGGATCCTCTGACAGTATCTCCTCATTTCTCTCTGTAGCGGGTCATCCGTAGCAGAAGCCAGTCTATGGACGCCATGGGCCTCAGTAACAGGAAGTCAAACACTTTCTCCACTAGCCACAGTGGCAGCTTTACCCACAATCCCGCAGAGAGCCCCAAAACCCCAGGGATTGTAAGTAGCCCGTTTTGGTTCACATGAAGCCACTTATCATACATAAAGTATACAGTATATCCAGCACAGTGGATGAATACAGACTGCTTACCCTATATTATTTCTTATAAGCTAATTACCCCTGTCAGCACATTGTATCACTTTACTCTCATTATGTTATTATTTAATGCTGATTTTCATTCCTGACATTTTTAATTTACCCTTGCATTATTTTAAAGTGGCTTCCATTGTTTGCCTTTTTTTAATTTACGGCTCATCTTGTTCCTATTAATGATGGTTTTGTTTGGAAAATCACCATCATTAATTTCATCATTCATTCTCATCTGTTGAGATCATCTTCAAACAGGGTGACTGTTAGGTTAGAAATCAAGGATGATGTGAAGAATATAGTATCCATCGTGGAATGAATCAGATGGTTTCCTTCTCGATGTGAGATTGTTTTAGAGCCCCGGTTAAGTCTCTATCCTCAGCCTTGAAGTGTGCTTAGTGTAACTGTATGACTACCCAGACTCCCTCCCTCCTTACTATGCTTCTGTCATGTCTGTTTGCTCCTGTTGTTACGTGTTACGACCTCTCTTCGCAGCCTTGTATATGTGCATGTGTGACTGCAGAGCATGCATTGCACAAGCCAAGGAACGCAACGCCCTATTTGTTCAAAGATGGGCTTAAATATATTTCATTTTTTCTGACATTCATTGCTGTTTTGGATTTGTCAGTACTTTGATATGGGATTAACTTAACCCCATGTTACAGGCCTATTCCTTAAAAGCTATTCCCTTTGGATTCTGTCTGCCCTGTTTTTTCCTTTTTTCTCCTTCTGAATGCATCGCTAAGCAACCCTGTAACCCTCAGGGCAAAAAGGGGCGACATGTCTGCTCTCTCTTTGGCACTCTATCTCCTGCTGTGCCCCTCTGTGTCGGGACCCCAGTTTGCTTTAAAAGCTTTTGACTATTTCTTCGATATTGTGCTCTCTATTAAGTCGTACTGCTAGCTCTTTTTCAAGCTCCTTTGCAGCTTGCTGTTAAAATGATTTGTGCTGTTTGCATGATATCTTATGATGTGTTCTTTTCTTTTCCTCCCTCCTTACTTTTTTCCATCTATCCTCTCCTCTCTCTCTGTGCTTTCCCTGTCTTGTGTGGCTCAGTCATTGCTTGTTCCAGGGAAAAGTCCCAGTAAATATGGACGCCGAGGCAGTGCCATAGGAATAGGAACAATAGAAGAGGTTCATGTATATTTCTCCCTTCTTGTTTACTGTTTTTGTCTCTCTTTTTTCTTTCTTTACTTTTATCTTTTAATGTTTCATATTTTCATAATGTAAGTGAGCAGTATGTAGTTTGTAGTTTGAAATGTGCCTGTTTTATTTCCTGTAGCAGTGAGAATTTTTCAGATTTTGTAGCAATGTTTTTAATAAAAACTTCATTCATTCATGCATTTATACATATAGTACCCGAACCACACGTAATTTCACTTTTAAATTGGTCTTTAAAGATAACATAAAATAAGATAAACCTTTATTGCTCCCCTTAGGGAAACTCAGGTATCTTAGCAGCAACAGCAATGATGGTAAACACAGCAGGACACATAATAATAATAATAATAATAATAATAATAATAATAATAATATAAATAAAGAAAGGTAAGAATATATATATATTTATTTTTTTTTAAATGTACAACGTGACTGTAGCCTATAGGTTAAAATGTAATTAAAGAATAATGATAATAATAGTAATAATAATAATAATAAATAGAAAGGAAGAAATGTAAGAAATAAAATGAAAAGAAGTGACTGTATGAATTCAAATGAATATATAATTTGTCAATTTGGAAGTGCGGGTCCAACTATATACATTATAGTGCAAGTCATAGGTACATACAGGGCAGGTTGTTTTGAGTTTTAATGAGTTCTTATTAGGCAGTCAAGCCTTTATTGTAGAGCCTGATGGCTACTCTGTGACAGAAAAGTAAACATTTAAAAAACACTCCCACTGATGTTCTTTTACACAGTCAGTGTGTTCTAGACCTTTTGAATCTTTAAACTCCACAGTCTGACCTTAGAATTTAAAATGTTACTTGAATATATTAATATTAACTAATTTCAGAATCTCAGAGCAGAGTGGATTTGTAAAACATGTTTCTTAATGTGTCACAGGATTAATCAAATCATCAGTCCATAATTCATTTTGCCGCATATTTCTACATGTGCACATATTTCCTATATACTTGTGAATGATGAAACAACCCCCGATCGTGTGTCTGACTCTCCTCTCCCTGCCCACCATCAGTCATTGATCATTCCTGGGAAAAGCCCGACCAGGAAAAAGTCTGGCCCATTCAGCTCCCGCCGCAGCAGCGCCATTGGCATTGAGAACATCCAGGAGGTCCAAGAGAGGAGGTGAGAGGACAGAGCACCGCTGATCCGCAGCGAGTGGGTAGTGAGGACAAAATAGTGTTGCAACAGATGGAAGCAAGGCATTAGAATGAGGAAATTAGCCATTAGAAGGCACACTGTTAAAACTGGACACATTATGAAAGACTCTCTATTTAAGTGCCTGTGTACACACATCTGGAGTGCCTAGTGAGCTAACATGAGAATCAACAAGCCTTAGGATCTTCCCTTCCTATGTCACATGCAGGCTTATAGAAATAAGCCCCCCATCAAACTATCTCCAACAACTGCTATAGAACTAACTTTTCAAGGGTCTACCCTTTGTTTCTGGCTTGCCAATGAGAGCACAATGGGCTTTTCCAGGAGGGGGGCTTAAACAGACAGGCACTTAAAGGAAGGGTTTCAGACAGAGGGTGATTACTCGTATATTCAGACAGACAATGAGTGTAAGTGTTTTTGGGGTATTTTTGGACCAGAGGGCCTTTTATTGGAGATCTTATTATTGAAAGGGAGAGACAGAGGGGAGGACATTGCCTGAAATGCTCGGCCGGGTCAGGATTTGACAGATTACTACTGTAGGCAGTGGTGACCGCATTTTGGCCGCCAGCTCCTACCATTGAACTGTCCGGAGGCCAATAAAGTGTTTTTTAAACATTGAAGCATGTAAACATGTTCTGGGAGGGGGGGGGGGAAGAAAGTATGAGACTGAAAATGAGCAAATTAAGTCTTGCAAGCTCTTTTTGTTGGGCTGTTTAGAGAAACAATGGGGATTGGAAATGCTTTACTGTATTTGTTGTTCCTTGTGGGGACATTAACAGCAGCTGGGGTTGCCCAGGATACGTGCATACAATTGTCAGATAACATGCACCCACATATTAATTACTATCATATATTTTGTAAATCTGAAATGTGCATGGAAATAATGTGTTGGCCAAATAAACAATCTCATTAATGCATTCAGTAATATCCAAACAAGCTTACCTGCTGCTGAATAAAAGTGCATTGTGAAAAAACATACACGTTCATACATGAACCGAAATATGAAGAGCACTTAGAGACTCCCACACAATCCATTTCGATAAAACTGCCTTCAACTTGTTGTTAAAATGGGGACTTGTATGTTATGTATATGTGTGATGCAGCAGTTGATGTGCATGTCCCTTCAATGGGAAAACAAACTTTAAACAACAGTCTGTGGCAGTTAAAGGCACATGATCAGAAGTTATGAAAGTGTTAAACATTCCTCAAGAGTTTGTCTAATGTGTCATCATATGAAATAAGTAAACTGACTGCATTTTCATATGTCAATCTCCATTCTTGTCCTGAAGTCGAGAGGTGTCACCCAGCACCCAGAGGACACCGGAGGGCATCCACTTCTCTCTGGAAAACAGATCAGACAACTACTCCAATCACAGCTCTCCTGAATTCCCTACTACTAGGAACAGGTGAATATTATTTTAATCAACAATATAATAGTATACTTTATTATATGTACGTACATTGACAAGATATTTGTGATGAATGGTCCCTTGGGTCGGTCAATAGGGAATATTTGTATTAAATAGAACAGCAACCCTGCATGGAGGATTACTCACACAATTCACCTTATATATTTCAAATTGTCTCTAACATTCTTGTTTATTGTTGTTCCAAAAACACTCTCATCCTATTCTGCAGGAGTCACCTGCAAAGCAGAATGCGTGCCAGTGTCTAGTGTTGATCAAATAAAATAATAATAATAATAATAAAATAGAATCATTTTAGACATTTCAATCTGAGATAATGATATATATGCAAAAACTAAAGTTAATGTGAGACAATATATTCTAGAATTTTCTATAGTGCTGAGTGACATGTTTAGCCGGAAAACTAGTTTACTTGGTCTTGAGTATTGCCAAGTCCTTGATGAAATCTAATTTGGGGGTTGCATTAACTACAGAACAGCTTTTTAGATTACGCAATAACCTGGCACAGACAAACACACTGCTGTCACGTTACTTTAAAGTGCTACCTGAGGTGCTGTGAAATGAAGATGATGAATTAATTATACTTTTGGAGGGAATAGTAGAAGAAAAATAAAGAAAACATGTTGATTGTCCTACTTTAAATAAATTTACCGTATGGGAAACACAGGAGTTTCTTGCGGTCAGAGTGACCCAGGTGTGTAGTTTGGCGATGTGTTGCAGGGCGCCGTCCATCCCCGAGGCGCAGGACCTTTCCCGCTCTTCCTCCAACGCCAGCAGCTTTGCCAGCGTAGTGGAGGAGCACGAGGCAGAGGAGGAGTACGACACCGGACTGGTGGGTGGAGACAGGCAGAGAGACAACACATAATGAAAGTACATATATGCATGCCACTTCCCAAAAACCAAAGCCGCAGGCAGCGTCTCACAGCTGATGAAATATTTATCATTCAGCCCATGTTTACTGTGGGGAATAATAAGCTATTAATCTTGTTCCTTTTTGGTTACCTTAATGTGAGAAGGTTTGATGGATTTAACTTCATCCCAGTAATGACAGGTCTCAACATGAATCCCATAGTAATCTATATATTTTTGCTTACGTTCATTTGCATGTCAAAAGTATAGAAAATGCCAATACTGTTTTGGAGTAGAGCTGTGGTTATAATTAAGCTGTCAGCATTTCCTTTAAAACATTTCTGGTAAAAATATGACTTAACTTCCTTTACCCTTCCTACAGGAAAGTGCGTCTTGTGTTACGCCACTCAAGGGAGAGTCATTTACGTACGGCTCAATGGAGGACAGTTCGTGCAGTGCAACCCAGGGGAGTGTTCCAGGTGAGTTAAGCAGTAAAGAGCTCATATTTCTGGGACAGTGATAGCCTGAAGGTGTGAGAGACAAGTTCACAAGGGCCCCATATCAACACTATCTGGGGAAAATCTAGATGGAGCGGATGTAAGAATAACACTCTCCACATCCCGAGCAATTAATATCCAAACACCCTTGAGCACTGATCCTCACCTTAGCTTCTTTAGTGGAGCTCACTGCCAACACCAGAAGGACCAGTCTGTGTTACAAACTCTTCTGAAATGAATATATTCTAAAATGACTGATCTGTGATTTCCACACAGTTGCTGTTCTTTTGAAATGACTGACGATTCACTCTAGAACTTTATTCTCTTGCATGCTTAGATATCCTTTTTGTGATAGAACAGCTGGCAGCATTATGTGCTTGAGTTTATAAACTATGACAGCGACGCTTGTGTTGCCTCTTTCCCAGCAGCGTCTCGTCTGCAGCAGCAACCGGATGGAGTGAAGACCTCGGAGCCCAAAGGGACAGACAGCCTGCCCAAGACAGAGCGCTCCTCATCGGTGAGACAACCTGCTTGTCATTCTTCATTAGGGGACACTCAGATGGTCTTCCATGTTTTACAAACTGAAAGAATGTTCCTTTGTGTAAAAGGGCCCTATAGGCATGGGCGTAATTTCCACTGGGGACAGGGGGGGACATGTCCCCCCCACTTTTCAAAATCCCGTTTGTGTCCCCCCCACTTTTCAAATGTGTTCATTGTTATGTTTTTACTCAAGCGCTCATCGAGA